AGAAGCTAAAAAGTAAAATGACAAAAATGATCACTTATGTTTTGGAGTAAGTTAAAAATAGTCCCCTAAATATACGCTTGAATAATTTTGGTTCTTTAATTTTACCAAAAGTGAATTGTTTTGATACTCATTAAATATTTAACAAACTCTTACTGTTTTAGATTAAAAAAGTTTTAGCAATCGCGACTATTTTTATTTCTTTAAGTTAATAAAATAAAACATGTCACACTGGATATGTTAATTTATTGTTCGGAAAATTAATCAAGCACTAATGAAATACAAAAAAAACTAATTGGGAAATTTTTGTGTGTCATATTATTACATGGAGGAGGATGTATCAAAGAGACTTGGGTACAATTTTTATTTTATTTTTATCGATAAGGAAGCTTATATTAATAATAAAGTAAAAGACTTACATAGTTACTATATAGTTTCTAAGGACATTACTATTGTTCAAAACTACTAGGATGTTACAAACATTGGTACTTAAAAGTTTTGATCCAAAACAAAGACCTTGTCCTTTTCCAAAACAGCTTCAACAAAAAGAGGTGGACGAGCAAGGTAAAAACATCTATTAGGATTGAAGTTCTTGATAGCTTCCTTTGCTAGTCGATCTGCTACTGTATTGCCTTCCCTGAAGTTATGTCTGATCATTGGTATTTTTAACTGGTGCATCAATAACCTGCAATTAAGTAAAGTATTGTTAGTAAGGGCATTGTCTTCGTTAATCATTTATGAGGAATCCGATTCAATTTCTAATGTAGGGAATGACATATCCAAAGATATTTTAAGGCCTTGCTCCATTGCTAGTAACTCTGCCTGCAAAGGACATGTTGCATAACAAGATTTGTAAAATCCCATAATCCAATTGTCATTATTATTACGAAAGACTCCTCTTATACCTGCATGTAAATTTGTCCTTTGAAAAGTACCATCAATATTAAGCTTGATAGTGGGGGGTTTTGACCAATGAATGTATATTTTGATTTTTGATTGTTGGAGGGAGGTTTTTCAATAAAGAAGTTATATTCCCATGATTGATAAAGAACTAGATTCACATTAAGATCTAGATCATGGTTGTTCACATTATTACTATTTCTATTTTCCCAAAGGTTCCAAATAGCAAAAGGAAAAATATTTATCCATTGACAATGTTGGTTACTGCCTTGTAGGTTAGAGTTCTTTAGGGTAATTAGCCAATGAGTATCATCATCAGTTTTTTCCAGAATTAATCCAAGATTTAACCAGAAACGAGTAGCTATAGGACAATTAATGAAGATATGAGTGGCATCTTCTGGCCCTTCTTTGCAAATGGGGCATTTGGTATCGATATTGATTTCAATATGGTGGAGGTATGATCTACATGGTATTTTATTGTGTATGCACTGCCAGATAAAGAACTTAATTTTATTAGGGCACTGTGATTCCAAATCCATTTGTAATCAGCTTCTTTTCTGGATTGATCGAGTAATTTTCTTGTAGGAGCTTATAACACGACTTAGAGGTAAACAAACCACTACTACTCATATCCCAAGTCATATAATTCTTACTACCATTTAAGTCGTTAGGGATAGGGGTGGCTTTAATTTGTTTTAATTAAGGAGCTGGGGAGATCAAAGGAGATTTTAAAAAAATCTCAGTTATCAACATTTATGAGGTATTGTAGAGTGATACTATAATCCGATAGGTGGTGGGGGCCTTCAATACTATTTCTAAGGCTAGGGGCATTGTGGATCCATCTAGAGATCCAAACATTAATGTTAGATTTTCTGCTAGGTTGCCACAAGGTCCCTTGCATGTAGATTTTTCAACCTTTTATTAGGGTTGCGAGATAAACGAAGAATTTATAGTGATTTTTTTGGGTATATTTACTAGAAATTAATGAAGCCTAAGGATTGTTCGGATAATTAATAAGTCTCCATGTTAGGCTAGCGAACATAACCATATTTTTTTTTGAAAGCTGAGTGGATCCCTAGCCCTCCTTCTAATTTATATTTAGTAACATCCTTCCAATTTACTAAGTGAAGCTTTTTCTTAGTATTAATGATACCCCATATGAAACCTGTTTGTATTTCATCTATTTGACTCAAGATGTTTGCAGGGAGCATGGTATATTGCATTAAATGAGAAGGTATGGAACCAAGACTGGAGGTTGCTAATGTTAACCTACCAACTATGTTTAGAAGATTAGATTTCCAGAGGGAGAGTTTATTACGCATTTTATCAATTACAAATTGAAAATCCTTGGGCTTTGGTTTTTGATTTAAAATGGAAAATCCAAGGCATTTTCAAAAGTTTAATTTTATATTGAATAAGTTTGCAAAATAAGAAGTAATATCTGGATGACATTTTTTTTGAGAAGACAAACCTGGATTTAGCAAAGTTAATAGACAAGCCAGTTTATTTTATAAACAGATTTAGGCAACACTTAATGCAGCTACTCGTTTTCTGATTAGCTTTACCAACTAGGGTTAGATCATACGCAAAGAATAGATGAGAGAAGGAGGATCCCCTAGGGCTAATTCTAACAAGATCCCAGAGCATGGTATCTATTTGATTTTCTATTATTCTAGACATAAGTTCCATACATAATATAAATATGTAAGGAGACATAGGATCTCTTTGACAAATTCCTCTACTAGGACTGAAGTACTTGGTCTTGGTTCTATTAACTAGAATTCCAATATGGCTTGATGCAATGCATAATAAGTTTGGAAATTTTTGGGGAAAGTTGAAGAAGATAAAGGTTTTATGGATAAAATCCCATTTCAATTTGTCAAACGCCTTCTCAAGGTCGATTTTCAATAACATATCATATTTTGAGCTATTAGAGATCCGCATATTGTTGATAAGTTCTTGAATAACGATAGCATTATCGCTAGCTCTCCTATTTTTTATAAAACTAGTTTGCGTTGGACTAATTAGGCTAGGAAGAAATTGTTTTAGTCTATTGACAATAAATTTGATAATATTGTAAGCCGTGTTACAAAGACCAATAGGCCTAAAGTTTTTTAGATCAGTAGCATTATTATTTTTGGGTATGAGGCATAAGTAAGTGTTATTAATACCCAAAGGAAAGGATTGAAATTCAAAAACCGTGTGACATAATTTAATAATAGAATCACCAACTATGTTCCAATACCTTTGATAAAAAAAAGAATGAATTCCATCCGGACCAGATGCCTTGAAGGGTTTAAATGAAAAAAATTGCATCTGTGATCTCTTCCAAAGCTAAAAGTTTATCCAAGATTTCTAAATCAATAACAGGAGCATTATTGTCTTGATTTTTAATAATAGACCTTGGTACAAGTTGAAGTTGGGGTATAAAATATGTATTGAGCCTTTTCAAGAGATTATACTTACCAATAATTGAACATATTTATATTATACGAATGCCTTTAGCAAAATATCGTTCGTCTTTTTTATCCTTTAAAAATAGTTTTCACAATAGACAAAATTGTAATTTAATTATTCTCCTAATATACAAGATTTTAAAATTAAATAAAATTTTGTTTATTAAATCTTTCCTTATTTGAACTATGTAGAAGCTCATAATATTTAGAAGTATTGAAATTTACTATAAATTAACAACTTTGACATTTCTAGATCCTTTTACCCATAAAAAATAACGTACTTCAAAATTAGAAAAAGAAAAAAATTAATTTGAATTAAACTATTCAAAATGCGTAGGAAGGAAATTGTATCTACTTTCGCCTTTGAAAGATGCTCGTTTCTGACAACCACGCAGCAGCCAAGGATCTCTAGCAAATTTTATTATCAATTTGATTCCTTTGAAATAATTTTTTAGAAAAAAAGTATCCTAAATGTAAATAAACAAGAAAATTATCTCTTTAAGAAGGAACAAAGTTGTCTTTAAAGTATTTAACAATTCCTAATTTATATAAAAAAGAAATATCTTGAGTATAATTACAATTTTTTCTAAAATAAATTATGAAATATACTTTGATTTACATGGTTAAATTCTAATATAAATAAAAAAAGAAGGTAAAAGATACCCTAGAACTCCTACCATAAATAAATGAGAAAAATAGTTTTCAAGAAGGAATCAATTTGTCTTTAATTTCTAAAATCTAGGTAAATAAAAGAGAAAAATATCTTTTCAAGTAAGAAACGAACCATCCTTGCTTCTTTATAAAATTATAGTTAATGTGTCTTTATCTCCAAAAGTAAGAATATTATAACACAATATTTATTTATGGATGCACATATCTTTTTATAATGTTAATAGATCATAATACTCGTCAATGATGTACTATTTCATCAAAATATTATACATACAAAAATATAAAATTGTTTAATAATGAATAATAAATAAAACTATAGCATATTCATGTCTCCTTATATAATTGTGGTATCCTCTTTATTGTTCATTTTTTTAGAATAATACAAGCTTGTTACATTCACTTTAACCTTTTAAGTTGTTTCCTATAAAGAAATTTAGAGATTATTGCTAATACAAATTAACACATTGTGCTTATTTTGAGCTTGTAAACTAAATACAAAGCTCATGTATCGAAATCCAATAAAATATATCAGGACTTTGTGGGGCGACGTTTCTTTTCTTATAGAATTAGTTAAACAAAATTAACATTCATATTTTTAGGAAGTTAACAATTTCCTTTAGTTTAAATTCTATATCAAGATTAATAATATTTATGTGATTTTTATAAAAATTTTGATTGTAATATGGGTACCCGCGCAACGTGCGTACCCAAGACTCGTTTATTAATAATTACAAATGACTCCAAGGTAATAGCAAATGCGCAAAAGTTTGTTTAGTATATGCAAAAGTTTATTGTTAATTATACACAAATGAAATCCTTCTTAATGAGAAATCAATAAATCTTAGTGGCATGAGTACAATTTTCACTAATAAACAATTCGATTTTTGTTATTTTTCCCACAATCCTAATTTAAAAGAAGAAAAGTATGCGAAAAAGATGAAGCCAAATCGAGAAGCTGAAATATACGGCCCAGATGCAATATCCTCAGCAAACCCTAAATTGACGGCTCTTATTCAAATGGACTTTTCCCTTTCCGCAAGTTAATCACTCATTGTTAAGCTGCTGTAGAGTGAAGACAACTCTACGCAATTAACATTAATAAATTGTGTCCCAAATTCCCACCCGCCAAAGTGAGTACGAAGAAATAAAACCCATTTCTCCTAAAATTTGCAAAGTAAAATTGCAATTTTTGGTGGAAGCCATGTATATGTACAGAGGTTTGCAGCGGTTTAGAACCTCTGGCTCCTCAATTATTAACCGTCTTACTGTGCCTCAGTTGAAAAGAAAAGCTTCTAATTCTTGGTCTGCTATTCAAGACACTTATTATTCAACAAAGGTACAATCATTCTTTTGAAGTTTTGTTAAAGTTGTTTCTTTTTTCATAAACACATTTAATCACGGAAGTATATTTTTTTTTTTGTATGATATTATTGGGAAATAGGATATATTCGAGAGGCATAAAGTGGTATTTACAATCTCCACGTCTATAGCATCAGTTGCTACAGCATGGTTCGGTATGTCTATTGTATGGTTTTTTGTCCTCACAGATTTTCATTGACTTGCTTGCCAATTCTTGTTGGAGATTTTGGTATTTATTTCAGTTATGAAATTCTGTATTGTTTTCCATTCTGTATAATGAATTGCCACCTGAAAAGGTTTTGATGTGTAAGAGAATAGTTATTCTTTATCTTATAAGGTGTTATTGACAAAATTCCTTGTACTCATATGCAAAATCAAATCATTTATAGAGAAAATGAAGAAAGAGCTAGAGGGAAGTTTGGAGAGTAATTCATTCTATGCATAATACACACTGCTTGAGCCTCGAGTTATGTACAAAGTATCGCAACTTGCAATGCGTATAACTGTCTGTTTTTGTGGCCAGAATTATCTATTGACTGATCTACCAACTGGAATAGATTGATTAACGAGAAGAACTTCAGCTACTTAATAGTATCAACTACAATGTCTTATTAATTTTAAACAGTAAACGCTAACCGTCCAATGTAAAGTTGCAAGCATAATGCCACCATTATGCTTGCAACTTGAAATGCGTTCTGCTTTCCAACGTGCTCATCTGTTAATTAACTCATATAATTTCTCCATTTCTTGACAAATGAATATATGTCTATTGACTGTATAAACACGGTTAAAATTTTGATTTTTAATAAATCGAGCTGACTGCGAGCATACTTGAGTGTTTTCTCGAATATGCGAGAATGCTGATCCATTGAATATGGCTTAATAATAAGTTTAGATATCCTGCCGATCTGGGAGATTGTTATTTCGCATTAATTGATCAGTTGACTGTTGAGTGAATGAGATTTTAAGGTTGGTTGTCAGACATGCTCATATGACCTATCGATTCGAATATGTAAAAGTAACTTTTTGCCTCCAACTTCATTGTGTCTGGCTTTGCTTTTCTTTGATGGCTTGATGCTTCTCTTATATATTCACAGAGCACCATTCCATTGAAGGTGTCAATTGTGTTTTTTCGCAAGAGTTTCTCCCTTGTCTGCTTATATGATGTGCAGTCTATCTGGGTTCGAACCCTTGGCTATATTGTGAAGTGTTTGGTGAAAAAATTGGATTTTTCTTTAGAATTATATGCTGAGAACATGCTAGAAGTGCATGCACTTAATCTCTTGTTCATTGTATATTTATAATATCTGCTTTCCTTTCCATAGATTCTTTTGGACTTTTGCAGGTTATACTTTACGACACGTTCATCAATCAAGAGTTGACCATCGTCTTGAATCTATAGAGAAAGCTGTAAGTTTTAACTGCAGAATAATGTTGCCTCATGGTTGTTCTTCTAGCTTTTTCTGCTCAAAAGAATAAGATGCATGCTACCCAAGGGGATTTGTTGGAGTGCTATACAGGAAGGAGGGGGTGGGGGAGGGAGAGGTTAGCTTGTGGTGCATAGGTTGTGTAGAGAGGAATGGTCCAGTCTAGACTTTAGAATGGAGTAAATTCTTTTAGATTATACGATAATTTGTTAATGTGGGAGAACACCTCGTATACAAGTGGTATACAAAAAAAGTAAAGAACATACACAGAGATATGATTCTTGTCTAAGAAAGCTACCAAATTACCAATCTGGCAAGAATCTCATGGGTGCACCAAAAGTTAGCCAAAACGCAAAACCGGCTCTGAACCCTACAGATTCAATTTCTACTCCTTCAGAAGTTCTTCCATTCTTTTTCCTCCTAGGTACCCATGTAAGAGCCAAATGAGTTGACATCCCATGCTCTGTGTCTCCTTCCTTCTTCTGAAAACCTAGCTATGCATCAAGTTCTTGACTGTTTATTGTAGCTACGAAGACCTAGCTATGCATCACTGTATTCTAACCAGTTCAACCCACTTACTACCTCACAGTCCAGTTGCAAGTGATCCACATCTTCTCCTGAACATTTGCAGATGAAGCACCAGTTGACACATGTCGTCTTCCTTTCCCTTAGGTTTCAGCTTTTAGAATCGCCCCCTTCTTTGTTATTATGCACGTGAAAAAGCATACTTCTGTGGATATTCTGTGATCCAAATTGATAGATGTAAGAACTTTGTATGCTAATAGCACTTTTCCAGAAAAGATCCGCTTCCCTTTCTGTTCCACTTCCCAGTGTGCTAATATGCCCGTCTTTTGTCATGCTTATAGAGTAATTCCATCAAGTTTGAGAATATAACTATCTCCTGTCTTGTAAATTCCTTTTGAACCTCAAGTTCCAAAGAACTCAGGCATGTTCTGCTCTGTAGATGTGATAGATGTAGTCATCTCCTTCTGGCTCGATATGTTAATAGATATATGCGAAGATAACTCTCAGTTTGTCGTTGCCACATTACGTGTGCTTCCAAACACTAGTCAAATTTCCCTTCCCAACGTTAAAACTGATGTTTCTACTGAAGTCTTCTTATCCCCCATGTTGTTCCAAATTAACTTCCTTTAAAGCCTCTCAAACTTTTAGATTTTAATAAACAGTGCATGCATAAGAGACATGTGATATGTTGGGGTTCTCTTTGATGACAGGTACCTCTTTTGCTACCTTGCTAGCCTCTTCTCATCCTTTTCTATTATTGGTCTCAAATTTGCAGTCTTTATGTTATGCTCTAATGGCAACCCTAATAAGTCATCAGTGGTGTCCCATTCTGCAAATAGACACATGTGCTAATTGTGCAATACTGTCTACTTATTCCTACTGGAATAACCTCACACTTCTTTAAATTAAGCCTCTAGTCCTGATATTGCTTGGAATCGCAAAAGCACCTGTTGCAGATATGTTGGTTAAGACATCTCAGCATCACAAAGTACAAAATTTCGTCTGCAAAGAAAAGATGTAAATTGGTTTAGAATAGAGTAGGATTAGTAGCAAATGTGGTGTTAATTGTTGGGATTAATTCTTCGAGAATATGCCCTTACAAATTAATGTAATTAAATACATGAAGTTTGAAAAAAAAATTAGTACCACCTAGAAATATTTGATAATTGAGTGTTCTGTTAAACTTTAAAGTACTTCCTTTATAGCCCAGGGCAATGAGAGCATGTGGCGCAGTTGTGTCTTCTTTGGTTAATGTGTATATAGAGAAAAGAATTGGAATTTGACCTCTCTGTACAACTATAGATATGGAGTCCATTGTTTAAGATTCAATTATTATTAAGCATGGTGTGGAGTACGGACTGGAGTGAATTAGTATTTTATATCTTCCCCAGCTTGTGTACTCACCTCCCTAGCGGCCTAGGGTGCAACTTGCCTCCTAGAAAACCTAGCATAAGTAACTCATCGCTTCTTATAGGAATGTAAGTGCGTGGGCATGCAGAAGTAGTGAGTGGGAGCTGGCCTGGCCAAAGTAATCTGGAAGATACCAATATCAAAAATTTGATCCATCAAGACTATCTCTTTTTCTTTCAATGATCACTTCTTCTTGCTGCTCAATCGCTAATCTTGTTCTCTGTCACCCTGCGACTAGTATTTCTCCATTCATCTGTTTCTAGTTTGTTCTCCTACCTCTCTTGATCCCTCGCTCGTTCTCCAACATCCTCCACCATCGCCACTTGTTTTTTTTTAAACTTCTACAAATTGATTGTACTTATCTATGAAAAAATAAAATAAAAATCCACAAACTAATTATCATAGATTATTGCCCCCATTTCTTTGCATGCTAAAAGAAATACAATACAGGATGTGTGGTAGGTAGATGTCACGAATTTGGCTCTGCTGACTAAAGTAGGAGGAGAGCAGAGGGGCGAGGGGCGGGCCCATGCTCGCACGAGTTATCAAACCTGTGAGATTTGCCGGCTAACCCACAGGTTTTTTTATTATCCCAACTCTAAAAGATATGATTGATTTTCGAGTAGCTGAACATCAATATATGTCATTTCCCTAAGTATCCTTGTGAACATATTATTCAGCTCCAAAACAATCACTGTTTCCTTTTTGATTGGCTAAATAATGTTCTTTTAATAGGTTAGCTTAAGAAAGTTCATTATCTGGACTCTGAAGGTTTGGCTTTGTGTTCGGCAAATGGCAATAGAGTATACCAAGATATGAATACCAAGATTTTAATAGGTTAGCTTAAGAAAGTTTATTATCTGGACTCTGAAGGTTTGGCTTTGTGTTCGGCAAATGGCAATAGAGTATACCAAGATATTAATATTTCATGAACATGGAAAAAGGGCAAAGAAGTGCTAACAAAAGAGAATTTGGGGATGTGGGGCTGGGTGAAACCTAATGGAGGTTATGGGAGAGGTTTCAGAAGCTTCAGCTGGTGTGAGCGGCTGATATGAGCAGAAGTCATTTGGGCCCTCTCACCGTCTCATGTGTTCGAAGCTGCTGATATGAGCAGAAGTCATTTGGGTCCTCACACATGTTCGGTCTTCTTTTAGCAGTTTCCATGGAGCACGTTGGTTTTCTTACGTGCCACGAGCAATTCTTTTGAATTTTGTTAATCCTTTTGTTGTTTATTGCATACTATATGATTTGACCTTTTCTATATGGCAGATGAAGAATAATTATCAAATTGAAGATCCTGAGTTTAAGAAGCTTGTGTCTGGTTCCGTTACTGTTCCAGCTTGTGTTGCAACTGCTGGAACCACACTGATTATCGGGTTTGTGAATTTTTCTTTCTGTTTCAGTTACCTTGTTCTTGCTTTGTTTTCTTTTTTCTTCCCTTTACCCAGCTGGTTAATTACAAGAAAAATGGCCATGCTTCGTGTAGTCTTTGCTGCCTCCATTCTAGTTTTATTTTTTTGGTGTTTTTATTGATGAGTAGTTTTCGTTACTTTCTTATTGTTTTCGGAAAAATGTCGAATTCAATAGTCTGACAAACAGAATCGCTTTCTGAATATCCTCTAATGGGAGCAAAAGAACTTACCTGGGGAAAAGAAGATGGAATTTGTGTTAATTTCTTGTCGTATGATGGTGGTTAATTTCTTGTCTTATGATGGTGAACTGTTGAATTTTTTTGTCTACTTCCTGTACATTTGGTTTTATTAGCCATTACATTACCCAATTTTTACTTGCTGAATGCCTTCTTGTAGCCATTATAAGGTCTGCGTACACTCAACCCTCCCTAGACCCCACTAGTGGGATTACAGTGTGTTGTTGTTGTTGTTTTACTTTCTGAATGCTACTGATGTTGGTGATCCCTCTCCTCCATGAGTAGCTGTAGCCTGTCACGTTTCCTCTCGCCATTTTTTTTTGTGTGTGCGCGCGTGTGTGTATGCTGCTGTTAATTCTTTCTCTGTATAGTTTTCATAACTTGTGGAAAGAAGCTAGAAAATCTTAAGAACTCAAAACCTGCTTCAATACGCCCTTTGATTTGCTTTTTGTGCCTTTGCTTTTAGGTGTGGCTTGGGTTGGCGAGGTGGAAAATGGTACGCAAACAGAAAGTTTAGAAGGGAGCAGATGAAACTGTTGGGACAGATAAATTCTAAAAGATGGCCACTCAGGTTTTTACGACGACCACTAATAAGGTCTAAATCGCCAGAAAATCTATTAACTGGTTCAGAAGCATTGCCAAAGGATGCATCTGTTTCCCACCGTTGAGGAGAAATTCCTACCTTTGCTGACGAAATGAGTCCCAATGGCAAAATTTTTTGTTCTGCCGATATTATTACGAGTACAGATTAGCTGCATAGTATTGCCAAATGTTCATAACCATTCTTGTTTACAACTTCTGTTGGGATTACTCTTTTTTGATTATCAACCAGGCTCACAGTAACTTTATTCATAATCAAAGAGCAATTTCAGACAAGGATGATACATTACACTTGACATAAATCTTAAAGAATGAAAACTAAATACAACCATGTTTGTTTAACTAAGTCAAAGAATGACCAGAAAAACAAATGACTCGCTTATACAATTGGATGAATGAAATAAAACAAGAATCATATAATCACACTCAGTAATCGTAACTAAATAAAAAATTAAGGAAATAATCTAGCATTTAGGTAGATCTGGTGGGGGAGGAGGTAGCCTGGTTGATGGTGTTGGCCCATTCTCAACAACAAATGATGTGGCTAATCCCCAAGGCAAGTGAACATCCAAATGACAATGCGTCAACCATACACCTGCAATTTCCAAATTAACAATTAAAACAATAAATCATCAACTAACAACATAATCCCACAAGCAGAGGCGGACCTATGCTATAGTGAGAAGGTTCACCAACACCTGTAAAGTTCGGCAAAAATTTCATGTATTCATGTATATGTCTTTAGAAAATAGTGATATATTAGTAGTTGGCACCCTATATACAAAACAAATTTTGGTTGAATCCAGAAGTATACCCCGATCTTTAAATCGTAGGTTTGCCTCTGTCCGCAAGTGGGGTCTGGGGAAGGTAGGGTGTACGGAGATTTCACCGCTACCTTGTATGTATAAAAAATATATTTCCGATAAACCTTCGGCTCAAGAATATAACTTTCAGTATCAAGCTAATGAATGTGTTATATATGTACCTGGATTATTAGCTCGGAATCTAATGACAGCCCATCCTCCAACTGGAACACCAATAGTGTTACGTTCTTGTGGATTGAAAAGGTTAAATTTTTTCCGATCAACCGCAGGGTTATAATTTCCAAATCCTTGAGCCAAGACATGGAAGTTAAATCCATGCAAGTGAATAGGATGGTTTTCTATCCCAATCAAAGCAGTATTTTGGAACACAATCTCAACTGTGGCATTGAACTTAACTTTCTTCACTTTAGTAGACTTTGTAGTCATTATAATAGCAGGATTCATGCTATTATTAGCATTTGTGTAGTCAAATTTCAGTGGTGGTTGGTTTGGGAAATCAGTGGTGTAAACTCCATTCACATTGTGGAAAAATGCCTCCAACATTGAAATCTTGTCAGGGAATTGGAAAGATGCATTGTTCATACTGGCAGCAAATCTTTGTCCATTTGGGCCTCCACATGTTGCATTTCCTTGTCTATTACAAGCAGTTAGGCCCAGCCCAATAGTAATAAACATGTGCTCATCCACTTTACGAGGTGGAGGGATCCAAAATGGCCCAGTTACAAGCCCAGTTAAATTGGTGAAGAATTTATGGGCTGTTGGTGTGTCATTAAAGGCTGGTAAAATTGGCATTAATGGAGTTGATGTTTGTGCACCTTCATATATAATAATTCCTCTTGTGGTTGTGTTGTCAAATGGTACCCCGGCTGCACTAGCGTAGGGGTTAGCCGCCATGTAGTACGACGCCGGTGCCTGATCGGCCGTCAAGAGGACGTCGGTCGTCTGACCTGGTCCGGTGACGACTACGTCCGTAACGTAAGGATCAGTGTAAGCAGCATCAACCGCGACAACTTTCATTTTATGGTTTGCGATCTTAAAAAAGAGCTGGTTATTGAGTGCAGCATTGATGATACGAAGGAGATATGTTTTCCCATGTTTCACTGTCAGCTTGTATGTTTCTAATAAAAACAAAAATAAAAAAGGAAAATCCAAGTTAGCAAGAAGACAAAATAGAACAAAATCACAAATTAATTAAAAATCTGATTAGTATGTAATTCTTACGATTAACAGAGCAAGGGTAAAGATCTCCCGGCCATCCATTAATGGTGTAAGCATCAGAGTTATTAGGTGCACCACCACTAGCTAGCCCTTCATTCTCCACGTCCACAACATTGGCATTCCACCATTCTCCTGCATTAACAAATCAACATACTTCTTCATTTCCTAGTTTTATAAATAGGTAAATTTCACTACATATATTTGTCAATTCTTGTAGCAGTACGTAACTCAATACATAAGCAAAAATATCTATATGAGTTACTATTTACTACTCCATCCGTCCCACTTTACGTGATGCGATCCAGAGTGCAAAAGCCAGACGTATCTAATTTTCGGTGTAAATTCATAATTTTCAAGTTTTTTTTTTTTTAAAAAAGAATCACATATTTAGAAACTACATAAAAAATACTATGAATTACAGTAACTAACAATTTAAAATATTTAACTGATACAAAAATAAGTGGTCAAAGAAAAATTTCTTTGACACTCCAAATAGTAAATGCATCACATAAAGTGGAACAAATGAAATACTAAGGACTCGTTTGTCCATAAAATTTTGTACGTTTTTGGAGATTTTTCGAAAATGAGTTTTTCAAAAAAAAATTAATTTTTTTGGAAAAACATTTTTTCCTACTCACAAAACTACAATATCTATTTAAAAAATAAATGCATGTTCAAACATAATTGCAAATTTCAAATATCATTTTTCAACTTTACTCCAAATACAACAATAATAACAACCCAGTATAATCCCACATGTCAACTTTACTCCAAATGAAGTACTTATTTTTTTAAATTTTTTTATAATTTTTATGTCCAAACGCCAACTAAGTCAAATAAAATTCCTTTGACTCCCCAACTAATAATTGCATCACATAAAGTGGAACAAACGAATTACTATATATCAAGGTAAACTCATAATTATAAATATTTCTAGTCTTATATTTCTATACAATACTAAGAAATTGAAGAATTAATTTGAAGAAGGTAAAATTACCTAAGAGGATAGGGACTTCTCTGTAAGGTTTAGGGAAAGGATAAGAGTTTCCTTTTTTGGGTCGAATAATGAGTGCACCATGAACCGTCGCTCTAAGCCATGAAACATGTGCATGCCACCAAAGAGTCCCTTCTTGACCCGTTACGTTAAACTTGTAGGTGTAGCTATGTCCGGGTCGGATCGGGCACTGGGTCGAAAATTCGGGTCCATCAGCCCACCCACTCAGTAGCTGAAAAACTCCATGCCTGCATTAATCAATTAATTTGCAATAATTAAGTTTTATTTTTCACGTCATTCCATGAATATGTAATGACATTATTTAATAAGCGTTCAACTCCCCTTTGCTTTTACTAATTTTGTTAAACTCTTTTTCTTTAACTAATTGGAGGGTGATAGTGCTGATAGCGATAGTTTCCACAGATATATTAAATAAAGATCACTAACTATCTATATATTAATTATACTACTATTATTGAATATTTGAATTGACTTTTTTTTATGTTAACGTAACGGCATTTTTGTGATTGTTTAGACAAGAAAATCAACTACTTTACACGAGTGTAACATTATGAAACCAAAAAAAGAAGTGGTTTGTTTTATTCTTAGTTTGATTTCTTTCTCTCATTTTTTGTTAACAAACTGCGTGTTTACTTTTTTTTTTTTCTATTAAAATATTGAAGGACTTACCAATGAATAGTGAGATTATAAGGTGAAAGGTTGAAGACATGAACAACAAGGGTGTCCCCTTCGTTTACGCGTATGGTTGGACCAGGAAGACTTCCATTTACAGCAGTGATCACTTGTCTACGACAAAGTCTCGTTATAGTTCGGTTTTGCACCTATAAAAAACCAATATCATAAAAAATAAATAAATCACAATTAATTAAATAGAAGTTCTAGTAAATGTAATTCTCGTTTGCCACTTTTCATAACTATTTAAATTAGACGAGGTGCAACAAGTAGAACAAATAGTTCCACTCGATATGCATGTGTATGTGTGCGCGCGGAGTATTTAGTAGGAGTAGTATGTATATTGAAAATGCAATAGGATATACTATAGTTTAAAGTAGGGTTTAAGCTAAGAGTTCAAGAGAAAATGAATTGCTATACGCATTTCTTCCAGAATTTGAAGTTTATGAGTTCGTACAGTAACCTCAAGATAAAGCACTATAAAAATAACTGCGTCCACAGTAAATATTATATATATATATATATATNTTCAAGTTGTGGAATCAGTCACTAATTCTTGCATTAGCGTATGCTGCCTACCTTACACCCCTTAATTGGTGGCAGCCTTTTCCGGCGGATTTTGCGTGAACGCGAGATTGCTTTGTGCACCGAACTTCATATATGGTCTAGGAAAAAGCTATTGAATTCATACGAATCCATAACCGGCCCTCTAGATCCGCCCCAAAATTAAACAAGGTAATGTTCTATGAAGAGTTGACGAGCTAGCTATTTTGCATGGGAAATAAAGAAGATAATTACTACGTACATGAAAAGAATGCTCAACAACTGCAGCTGAAGCCAATGAGGAGTAAGAAGCTAGAAGAGCTATTATAGTGCAAACAAACAAGAAAACCTGATGATGCGCCATTTGATTTTTAAAAAAAAAGAAATATACTACAATTCAATTGTAAGGCTAGAACTTGAAGAATTTGGTGAAGAGAAAATGAGAAATGAATGCCTTTATATAAGGAGGAGTTTGTACACCTACAAAAGCCACAGGCGGCAGTATTTTCTAATTAAGAAATGTACGTAATACAATTATTTGTTTTCTTCTTCATTATTTCTTCTTCTTTTTGTGGAATTGTTTATCCTATGTCTTAGCTAGCTAAATTTTACGTATTTCATCTCAGTTTCCTAATCTCGCTTTCCATATGTAGTCTTGATTTATCTAATTATTTGCCAAACTTTTCCACGATTGCGTGAAAGACTTTGTTTAAGGCAAAGTGATGCAATTGAAAAATGTGTTTTGAAAATTATTTGTAGACAATTAATAATTTCGCAAAGGTTCGTTATAGAACAGCTTGAGTTGGCCATCAAATAAGTACTAAACTGAATAAGACTTTATAGCTTATAGACATATAATTTAAAGGATTTTTCTTGTATTGAGGAACATCATTTAACTGTTTCGTCTATTAATTTGTTTTTCTAAGTTTTTTTCCTCGGTCGTTTCTTAGGC